AAAGGCCTTGTCTGAATGTATAACCAGAACAAAATATGAAGACAGATGAAAACACTCACAAAGCTGCTTGGGGGGACAAGGGTAGAATCACCCCTAAACAGCTCCTCACAGGCCCATAAAGTCTGGTGGTAGTTATTCACTATAACAACCCTGAGCTTAAAAATGTTCAAAAGAGGTGCACAAGAAAGAGGCTGCGTGGGTCAAAAAGCAAAGTTCCTAACAGAAGGACCGATCACCAACATTTTCACCCAGAATCGGGGTGTTTGCTGCAAATCTCCACATCCATCCGGAGCGCCTCATGCCTTGTAGCTGGAGCTTTACAGCATTGAAAGGGATTTTATGGTTGGCTGTGTCGACCAATACAAATCTCTAGAACAATCTGGAAGGAAATGATTAATGACGGCTTCTTCCCAAGGAAGTTTAAAAATAAGTAGCCATGGGCATATCAGAATCTGTGTGAGTGCACCAATTGCTACCACGCGCAAGCTAGCTTGCTCAGGCTGGTCTGGCTTGAATCCATACTACAGAGTTGAGGCACCAGGTATGATGCGGGTGTTATCAGCTATTAGAGGGCAGTCAGTCGCCCCAGTTCATCACTAAAAAAAACGTTTACTCCCCTCTCCTACTGATCTGCCTCTTCTGCTTTCCACAACAGGGCTGGGAAGAAGAGGCTGGTGATGTTTAGATCTGTAGAACAAAGATTGTGCAAACTGCCAGCACACCATTGCTTTGGTTTTCAGCCTGGTTATCACAAAACAAAACAAAAACAAAAAGATAACTTCTGCATCTTTGAAAACAGACCCCAGTATCTCCTCCTCTTTCAGTACAGAAGGCGTCCTTCACAGTACTTATCTGTAACGTACTGGGAGGACTGGTAGGGGACCAGTGACTGTTTCTGAAAACGAGAGCTTGACAGAGTCTATCTGAAGAAGCCATTTCCTGCATGACTCTGGGAGCCTCTCGTTGCTTTGACATTTGCCAAAAATCCAGGAGAGCGTTTTCTAGAACGCTCCACCTTTGCCTCCCAAGGACCAGAAAGAGGAGTTCATCCCAACAAGGGAAAGGGACCTTGGAGCACTCCATCCGAGCTTCTGTTTGTCTTTTGTTCACTCCTTTTAAAAACAAAGACCAACCTCAAAGACTGTTCCTTTCTAAACACAGGAGTAACACCAGGTCACTGTCCCAAGGCAAAGATGTCTGAAACAACGCTCTCCTGAACTCTTACTGCTCCTCCCAAGGCAGCCAGTGTTAGTACCTTGGTACACAGTCATGGTGACTTCTTCCCAGGCCTACATAAACATATACTTAAATAACATATGGGGATGTTTTCTTTTGCAAACAAAAATGGGATATTAAACATACTTACTGTGCGCCGTGCCAAGGCATTCTGCAAGCACTTGTTTGTTTGAGAGAGTGAGAGAAACAGAGCGAAAGAGAGTGAGAGAGAAAGAGAAAATTAGAGACAGGGAGGGACTTCAAAAAATTCACAGAAAATGCAATTAAAAGATGAACTTATTTCAGTGTAAGAAATAATTGAAATTCATGCCTAGTGTTTTCATAATATGCACTTTTCATGAACACTTTTAAAGTTTATTTTCCTTGAAAGAGTGGCAGAGATGGAGAGAAAACAAAATCTTCTAATCTTGGTTCATTCCCCAAATGGTCCCAACAGCCAGGGCTGGCACAAATTTAGGAGCCTGAAAAACATACCTGGGTCTCTCACATGAGTAACAGGAGCCCAAGTTCCTCAAACCATCATCTGCAGCACTTCAAGCATATTAGCAAGAAATGGGATAGCAAACAAAGGTGGCATCAGATCCCAGGGATTTTGATAAGGGATGCAGGCATCCCAAGCAGTGGCTTATCCCACTACACCACAATTTCTGCCCTCCATGAACTTTATAGACTCCTCCTATAGAGCCACTACAGCCTCTCATCTGTTTATTTATTTATTCATGCTTATCTTGGAGGCAGAGGGGTAGAAAAAGAGCTCCCTTCTGCTGGGTCACTCCCTACATGCCCACAGCAAGGGCTGAGCTGACTGGGCCAAAGCTAGGAGCCAGCAGTTCAGTTCAAGTCTCCCACATGCGTGATAGGAGATTCGGTTGTTGGAGTCATCATGGCTGCCTCCCAGGGTCTGGGTTAGCAGGGAGCTGGAGTCATGAGCCAGAACCCAGTATCAAACCTACGTAACACAGGATGTGGATATATTCTCTGATGTCTTAACCACTAGGCTAAACCTTCACCTCACCACTTCCTTGTTAATGGCTGCAAACCATTCCAGAAGCCAGTGTGCCGAAACATTCAACCACGGCTCCACTTTTCCTAAACCATGGAAATCTGCGACAGACCCTCCTGCTGTGTCCCTTCATTCCAGTAACAGATTGCTAGAAGTGGTGCTTCCAGGTCAAGTGAAACATTCTCCAATGTTTAACATTTAAATGCTTAAGCACAATTTCAGATCTTTAAGATGTGCTGCTTTCTTCATTATGCAAAACTTTGATATAAATCTTTTGCCATGGTTTGCATATTCTCTTATTAAAAACAAAGACATCGCATTAAAAAAAACACCTGCCAGTTACATTCATGTGGTCATAAATAAATAAATGCTCAAGTTACAGCTGTGATGGCCAGAGCTTAAATCACCATGCACATGCTTCCGTGTTGGTGTGTGAACGTAGTAATTCATGGTGGAGACCCCGCCCCTTGGCCACACGGCAACACCAGCGTTGCTCCGGCGTCCTGTGACTCCCTCCCACTGAGTGACTGGATAGAGATCAGGACCTGCGTATTTTCTATTTGTTGACAGTTAACGTTAAACCATGTGCAGCCGGGGAGACAAGTGAACTGTAACAGATGACAAATGGATGGCCATTTGGGGTTTCTAATAGCCACAAATTATTCGTAACACCAGGAATAATGCTTCTATACTTCTATATTAGAGACTGTGTTCCATGAAAAAAAATAAAATCTCTAACCACTGTGTAGCTAGTACTATAGGAACCGTTTAAAAACACACTCTTCCAGCATTTTCTCAATAGAATCAGTGGTTGGATCCCACCTTGTATTTCTTTCCTACTTGAGACGTGAAGACTCTAATTACACAAACTTTAAACACATGTTTAAAATAGCAGCCTCAAAGAAACACCGGAACTCAAGAAGCTCCTTAAAATGGAACCTCGGACTGCTCTGTGTTTGCTAAAGACCCGAGCAGCAACAGAGATTGTTAAGACACAGCAAGTTTGATACAGAAGTTTCGTGACACGCAATTAATCTCCATTCATACCCTGCTCTACTTGTCAGCAAACAAAGGTGCTACTTCGGAAGGAGATCTGAAGACTTCAATTAAAAACAGTCAGCTAACAAGAAAATAATCTAAGCTAAAGGAAGGTGGCAGGTGTAGAAATGAGTTGTTTACCCAAGTGTCAGTTTTGAACAATAAAGCACTATACATCAAACATGGTGAACAGTAGGTTTCAGGGCCAGCCTCTGAAAATACAAAACGAATTTGCTACTCAGGCTGTGCACAGAACTCAAAGATCATCGCCCTGCTACTTCTCCACATACATAATATCATTTCAGCTCTTTAAAAGGGAAGGCAGAGTTAGGCTTTAGTCACCAAGCTGTGACCAAAGCTGCGGTGGGCTTTGTCTTGGATGTCGGATAATATGTTCTCACCCTGCAAACTGTCCTCTACTCCTAGTTAAGACTGAGCCAGGTCATCACTAGAGTGGACTTTGGAAACCACACCTTGACTGAAACACGTAGCTGACAGTTATGCCAAGAGCTGAGCCAGAACACAAGCAATGCCACCAACACAGACCAAACAGACTTACCAACTATTCAATTAGAAGGCATTTATACCAAGATAACAAGGTAATGGAGACACAAAACCAATTAAGTTGGGGGAAGCTGGGAAGAAGGGACTGTAGCTTGACAAACATACGACCTGCCCAACGGAGGCCTTCTATTAAACGTGTCAAATATGTCACTTATTTGCCAAAAGGCTTAATGCTGAACCGTGTCCTGGAACCTTAAGGCAATTCTGGAAGATTCCAGGCCTCTGTCCTCCCTGAAAAGTCAGTAACTATGAAGGAAGTCAGAACAACATTCCTGGTGAGAAGTGTGTCCACAGTAGGTGAGATGAGCTGGTAAGGCTGTCGCTTTGAGCAGTTGAGAGACAGAGGGGGACCGACCCACTGGCTCACTCCCCAAATGTCTGCCACCGCAAGCAGCCAGCTCAAGCCACGTCTCCCACGTGCACGGCAAGGACCCAACGACTGGAACCATCATCCTGCGCCGCTGCCTCCCCAAGTGTGCGTTAGCAGGGAGATGGAGTCAGGACTGAAACCCAAGCACTCCATAGGGACGGCCATCCCAGTGCGAGACGGCACACTGCTGAGGCACTGCGGTCCAAAGGCAATACCTCACGACCAGCGTTTGTAGAAAGGAAAAAAAGGAAGAAAAAAAAAAAAAAGAACACTGGGGCAGTTCCACTTGGGTAAATGTACCCCCAGGATGGTATCGACACTGGGGTTTCCACAAGGACAGAAACACATTTGCCCTTTAAGGTCTGGACCCAGAACATCCAGGAGATCCCAAAGCCTGCCCGAGGGCCTCCAGCAGCCAGCCAGGTGCCGGTCGTGGAGAGTTCACAGCTGAGGAGGGCGAGGAAGGCAAAGCCCCCACTGGCGTGGGAGACACGGGCAAGTCCAAGCTCACCAAGAAGCCCGCCTGAGGGGATGTAGAGGCTCTGGGGACCCAGTGAACCAGCCCAGGTGTGGTCAGCAGAGGCCCTGGAGGCGGACGACTGACAGAGGAGACCCCCTAGTCCGAGGAGTGACAGAGACCCCCGAGGAGGAGCCCACCAGCCGGCTCTGGAAGCCTGGTCGGAGGAGGGCGGCTGAAGAGAACGCCGAGGCCTCAAGCGGCCCTCGTGCCTCCTCTCCTACCTCCAGCTCACAGGGGACAGGAGGTCTGAGGCTGCACCAAGGCTTTACCTTCCAGGAGCCAACGGATCTCCTCCGGGAGAGCGGCGGCCTGCATTTGCGGGCCGGGAGGGAGGCCGGAGCGGGCGGCGGGAGAGGGGGCGTCGGCCCTGCTCCGAGGCTCCGGGCGGGCTGCGCGCCTCAGACACCTGCGCCTCCCGGGCGCCGCAGGGCGGGGTCGGCGGGGCGCGCTCAGGAAGTGGCGCGGCCGCCCGCGGGGAGCCGGGGATGCCTTGCCGGTTGCACGCGGCGCTCGGGCCGAGCCGGGGGGGAGAGACGCCCCAGCCCTTCCTTGGTTCACACCGCAGTGATTGCACAGTGCTCTCCTCATAGTGGTTTTTTGTTTCTTTTGTTTTTTTTTTTTTAATTACAATAAACCGACTGCCGTGCATGGGTAGAAAGCAGTGCAGGCTCAAAGAATGGAGGCGGATAGAAGAGATGGAGGTGTCAGTAGATATGGTTTTTAAAATACACGGTTGTCATGCCTGGTGCCGTTAGCCTAGCGGCTAAAGTCCTCCCCTTGCACGCTCCGGGATCCCATGTAGCCGCCGGTTCTAATCCAGCTCCCTGCCTGTGGCCTGGGAAAGCAGTCAAGGACGGCCCAAAGCCTCAGAACTCACCCTAGAGGCCAGGAAGAGGCTCCTGGCTTCGGATCAGCTCAGCTGCAGCCATTGCTGCCACTCGGGTAGTGAATCATTGGACGGAAGATCTTCCTCTCTTTCTCTCCTCCTCTCTGTATATCTGACTTTCCAATAAAAATAAATCTTTAAAAATAAATAAAACACATGGCTGTTTATTTTTCATGTTTATTTTTATCTGCTTGTGAAAGGCAGAGTGACAGAGATTTTTTCCATCCACTAGTTTATTGCCTTAATGGCCACAACAGCTGAGGCGGGGCCAGGACAAAACCAGGAGCCGAGAAATCCATCCAGGTATCCCACCTGGGTATCAGCAACCCAGGTCCTTGGTTCATGTTCCATGGCCTTCCCAGGTGCATTAGCAGGGAACTAGATCAGAAAAAGTAGCCAGGACTCAAACTGGTGCTCTTACTTGGAATGCCCGGGTCCTCCCTGCCCTACAGTGGCTTGACACCCTGTGCTGTGACACCCCTGAGTATTTCTAGGCGTAGACATGTGGATGGTCTTTGAGATGAGTTCCGATGCCACTGCAGATTGAAAGGGGCAGGTGGAGAAAAAAAAAAAAACAGCAAAAACAGGAAAGCCCCCCCCCCTTACTTGAAGAACAGTGCAGAATTCTCTTTTAGTGAATCAAGCCAGGAAGCTGTAGCTGTCAGAATAAACTGGAGCTCTGTAGTAAAGTCAGAATGGGGTTTTACACTCAACTGGAAGCCACCGACCATTTTTTGAATAGGAGAGAGACTCAGCCAGTTCTTATAAGGGAGATGGCCTTCTAGATCTTTCCACATCTACTGTTTTTCCTTCTTTATTTAAAAAAAAGGCGGGGGGGGGGTTAGATGTTTTTTATTTATTTGAAAGGCAGAGTTATAGAGTCACACTTTTAGAATCTTTGATCTGCTGATTCGCTCCCCGCATGGCCACATCTGAAGCTTGGACCAGGCCAAAATCAGGAGCCTGAACCTCCATCCTGGTCTCCCACATGAGTGACAGGGACCTGATACTTGGCCTCTGTCCCGCTGTTTTCCTGAGTACATTAGCAGGGAGCAGGAGCAGACATGAAGTAACTGGAACTTGCTGGTTTGGGATGCCACCTGCATAGGTCGCTGCTTAGCCCACAGTGCCACAACATGGCCCCCACCACGGTGCGCCTCCTTTTGGACTCTACCATTATAACATGTAGGAAGGACTTGAATGATGAGAGAGTTCACAGGGAGGGTGGAAGTGGTATTGACAGCAGCGTCAGCAGAAACGGTAACAGACTCAACCTGGGACAAAGGGCAGAAGCAGCAGCAAGACAGCAGTGCCCACTTCCTGGCACGGCCCTAGACATGATTCTTTAAGGGATTCAGTGACTTTTTTTTTTTTTAATGAAGATTTATTTATTTGAAAACCTAAGTTACAGAAGGAAAAAGTGTAAGGAATGACTCAGTGACCCCAAGACTGACCCCACCATCCTGGACTCAGTGCCCCCATGAATGCCTTGACTTCCTGACCCAGTGCTACCTTAAGTCCCCTAGCTCTCAGCCCCCTTGAATACCTGGCTACCCAGCACTACCATAAACCTCCTAGATCTCAACCCACTTAAGGCTCACTAACCTAATTAAGCTTAGTGACCTTAAGGTTTAAACTGTGTGCTCCACCCATCCCCTGAGGCATTTATCCCTGGTGTTCACAGACAGCTGCTTTTGCCAACCCTAACACCCCCCCCCCCACTCCCCAACTCACCTCAAGGCTATAAAGGTGCCTCTTCCCTTTGTTCTTTCTCTCTTTTCCTCCTGCTCTCTGTGTGTCTCTCAGCTCTTCTCCTCTACTCTGTTGTGTCTCTCCTCACGCTCTCTGTCTCTCTGCTCTCCCCCTGCCCCATGCTACCTCCCTTGCTGAAATAAAGGCCTCTCGTGTGGTTCGTCTGCTGTGTCTGACGTCTTGCATTTGTAGGAAAAAGCTAACAGAAAGCAGAGGCAGGGAGAGCTTCCATTTACTGGTTCACTCCCCAGAGGGCCTTGATGGTCAGGGCTGGATTACTTTGAAGCCAGGATACAGAAGCTTTAAGCAGGCCTCCCACATGAGGTGGCAGGGACCCAATTACTTGAGTCATCTTCTACTGCTTTTCCCAGGCATTTGCAAGGAGCCGAATAGTTAGTGGAGTGGCCAGGACTCAAACTGACACCCATATGGGATGCTGCCATCTACACCACTACGCTGACCTTATGTAATATCTGCGATTGTTTGCTGCATCTGAAAGGAATGGTACCTTAGTGTCTAAATCACATGACCCACCTATAAGTTGCAGCCAAGTGGGATGGAGGCTAGCGCAAGTCTTGGGACTCTGGCCTCTGCTTCCTCCTTCTTGCCCTTTCAGAGTGGAGCCATGAGCAGGCTGCCTCTTCCAGGCTTAGTGGAGCAAGGAGAGGGTACTCCTGAGGGCATTTAACCATCCTCTGCATCCCACTATAAAATTGTATCATTTTTGTAGTGCTGTGATGCCTGTTAAAAAGCAGGGGAGTGGTGGGTGTTGTGGCAGAGCCAGTTGAGCTCTACTTGGGACACCTGTAGTCCAACCTAGTGCTGGTTAAGTCCTAGCTCTGCTCTCTAACTTCCTGCTAATGCACCTAGGGTACAGCAGATAATGGTTCAAGGACTTGGGTCCCTGCCTCCAGTTTCGGAGACCTGAATGGAGCTCCTGGTTCCTGGATTTGGGCTGGTCCAGTCCCAGCTGTTGCTGGCATTTGAAGAGTATCAGTAAGGTACTCTTCAGTAAGATTTGAAGAGAATCAATATGATTTCTTTCTCTCATTCAATAAATAAATGTAACAAACACTAACAGAAAAATTAACAGTGTGTGCTATGGTTATAATTGTTTTTTTGCAAATCTCAATCTGTTATTGAAAGACAGCAGCAAAAGGAACCATTACCCCCAGATGTCACTTCAAGCTTTGCCTTGGTTTTCCTCCGGGTGATGGGAGAGAATTCCCCGGTCTCCCCCTCTTCTTCCAGGATATGGTGTCACAGGCTAGGGGCTAATGAGTTGTTTGAGAAACAGCAGGCCTCCCAGGCCTCTCTGCATGCCGTGACTTACTTATACCACAGGAAAGAGCTCACAGTCATGGGGTGGGTATTTTGCATCCATTCCCTGCCCACATCCTACCCTACCCCAAATCTCTGGGGTGGAGGGAGGTGTGGAGGCAGGCAGTATGTGTGGTGACTGGCACATTCCAATACCATATTGTCATGTTGCATCAGGATTCCTCGGTGTGAAAAGAAACCTGCCTCCTCACAAGAGCACAGCCCCTCCTTCACCATCCGAGAGCCCCTGTGCAGCCGTCAGCCTCCCTCCTAATGACATTCTGTTAAATGGACAAATTCCTTTGAAGCCTTGTCCTGCTTTGAAATCCAATTTCGCAGGAAGGCAAATCTGATTGGAGGTAGCCATGGAAACCACACGGAGGAGTCTTGGAGGAGGTGGAGAGGAGGTGGGGTACGACGTGATAGCTGAGAGTCCTTTACCGTTCTGTCGGAAATATCAAAGCGATCTGAAGAGGTTGGCAGCCAATGAATCCCTGGCTGGGTACCATGTGGCTGTCAGGGAAGAAGGCAGCCGCAGAAGCAGCAGCATATACAAATCCCAAGTCTGCCTGCCTCCCGCTTCACTCCCTCCTCCCAGCCAGGGGTTCCAGCAAGATCTTAGCATCTCCTTTGGAGCTGCCTACCCCTTAAAGGCAAACAGAAGAATGACAAGGTTAAAATACTAGGCCCTCACAGATAAGAAGTCCTTAGGAGCCCAGGCCATGAAATTCATCTGAAATTCCTTGTAATTAGATAAGATAAGGGGATCTGAAGAGAGGCAGAGGAACCAGGCCTGGAGTCCAGGCAGTACAAGACAGAGAGATGGGCTGCTTTGTGCCCTAGGACAGGCACGGGTGCGCGCACACGCACACACTCCCCTGGGCAGCCCCCTCTCTGTCTCTGCAGACAGAAGACACAGCAGATGGGGGTGCTGTCAGCCACTGAGCTTCAAGAAACCATCTACACATTTTCCTGCCAGGTGGGCTCTAGCTAAATATGCACCCACGGGACATTCAGAGGGCTCCATCAGGAAGAAACAGAAGCATCTGGCCCCCAAACAGCTCCACATAGAAACAGCTGCAAGTAGAGCAGCAGCAGAGACTGGCTCTGGCTGACTGGCATGGGTCTGGTGACGAGACTGAGACGGGCAGGCGCCACGACTTTACTGGGAGCCCGTTATTGATCTCTGAGTGTTGGGTCCCCACAGGTGGCAGAGCTGATGTCCGCCCTGTGGATGTGCAGACACTGCCTCTCAGCCTGTTGGTCCCAACCCCAACTACTGGGTTTATTGACTATTTTATTGACGATACCAGAGCCTAATGAGGATGAGAGCTGCACACTTCATTAAAAGATGCGAAAGGCAAGATGATGCTTCCTGTCAGTGCCAAGAACCAGGCTTACTGCATGCTTTGTGAGGCCCCAG